CAGGGGATTTCCATGGCCCAGTGGGGATTTGAACCCGTCTCCCAAAGCCCTAGTGCCACACAAACCACTACGCCACAATGCCTTTCTGGGAGTTCACCTCCCTCTATATCAGAGGTTCCCAAACTTTGGTCCTCCAGATGTTTTGGACTTCAGTTCCCAGAATTCTTGACTGTTGACCAAGTTGGCTGGGGCTTCTGGGAGTTGAGGTCCAAAACACCTAGAGAACTAAAGTTTGGGAATCACTGCTGTATAACCCACTCGCAAGATTTCCCAAGCCAGTGCAGCCAATTGTGGGAGCTGGCGTCCAACACAACTGGAGGGCAACAACTTGGGGGAAAGTAGAGCTTTGTAGTCCTCCTATGCCTAGCTAAGGATATCAACTTGAATTCTCTTGACATTCCCAACTGGAGTAGACCCAATCAATTCTTGAAAGGCAGGTCAACACAAGAGTAACTCCCAGTGATGGGTCTCCCATGGGTCTACTCTAGCTGAACTACCAACTGGATTCCAGGCACCATTTTAACTGGTTATAGCAAGGGCTCTGTGAGCCAGTGTGGCATAGTAGTTTGAGCGTTGGACTACAACTCTGGAAACCAGGGTTCAATTCCCAGCTTGGCCATCAAACCCACTGGGTGACCTTGGCCAAGTCACACTCTCTCAGGCTCAGGGGAGGTCCATGGCAAACCTCCTCTGAACAAATCCTGCCAAGAAAACCCCATCACAGGCTTGCCTTAGGGTTGGCGTAAGTGGGAAACGACTTGAAGGCACACAACGCACACAACAGCAATTGTTCTGCCTATGCTGTACAACTGAGCTACACCAGCTGTCTCCCAGTGGTGTGGAAAATATTATTCACTTTGAAAAGAAAGCTCACTGGACAAACATAGTCTACCTTGGCTTGGAAATACATTTGTCCACAGCTCATTTAGATGGCCCATCGTCCCCTTTTCTCCCCATGCTGCAGGACATGGACAACATGGGGAAAAAAGGGGACAATGGGTCATCTAAATGAGTTGTGTCAAATGTTACAGGCTGGTGACGAAGCAGCATGAAGTCCCATCAGAGGGGAGACGAGGAGAAAGTGTGGAGCAGGGGAGACAGCACACAAAGACTACCGGCCTAGCAATTTTCTCTGGGAAGGGAAGGAAAAAAGGTGTCACTTTGCTGGATCCTCTCTAGATTCTCTGCTTGTGATTCCTCCGCCACTTAGGAGGAATTTTGTGGGGTGGAGGTGGAATACACTGCAAAAGGCTGGAGGATACCCAGGACAATGCATCCAGGAGTTTCAGCTGGTGGCTTCTGTGGAGAATCTCTTCCAGAGCCTAGTATGAACTTTAAGGGAGCTAGCCAAAATGCTGACCCTATTTTGGGGATTGCGTTCAACGCCCCTGGATAGCTCTTTTAAAACTTCAGAGGAAAGCCCAAAGCGGACTCACCGTCCCACTGACCCACAAGCCC